AAACGAGTTGACAGACCTTTTGTTTCTGGAATGAAAATGAGATTTTGAGTGCAGTGTGCATGGCAATGAGCAGAGTGTGAGAGGGGATCTCCATCATTGTCTTTCAGGGATGAGACTTCCGAGAGGGGGAAGTGGTGAACATGTTTAAGACCTAGTGGAACCCAAAGGTTCACACTCAGGTGTTCTGTCAGGAGGTGCAGTAGAGCAGGTATTTGGATTGCTGTGAGAGCAGGAGGGGTGTGAAGTGACAGCCAGCCTTGCTCCTGTGCCCACCAGGGCCTGGGAGCAGCCTTGGAGCACTGCAGGCATCGTTCAGCTAACAGGGCAGGGAAGCGCTTGCTTCACAGGGGCCAGCAGGGACTCCACACAAGGCTCTGATGGTCAGCACGGATCCATAATTGACAGTCATAATAAATGAAATTTAGCAGCTAAACTCAGAGGGTTATGATAACAGCACTGAACCCAGCAGCGCTGCAGAGGCAAGGAGAAAGCAAAGCTGGTGCATAATGCATGAGGGGGAGACCCACTGACAGCAGGGACTAAATGCTGCTTACAGAGAGGCTGAAGGCAGAGATCCTCTCTGGATTCAATGGAATCTGAGTCCTAATGAGGAGACAGGACAGCTCAAACTCATTACATGATCCTCCACTCCATCTTTCCCGATGGGACCCCAGATCCTGCTCCTCTTGCTCACCTGAGGACCTGTGAGGGTGGGCTTGTGCAGAGCCTGGAGTTGGACTCGATGCACCTTGTGGGTCCCTTCCAACTCAGCATATTCTGTGATTCTGTGAGGTGCAGGAATCTTTTCACAGGAGGGCTATAAGCCCACATACAGGGAATCCTCAAAGGGGCTTCTGTTCCCTCCTCCAAATTCCATCAGTGCAAGACAATCTCTACACATGCCACACACAGCCTTCAGCACTGGTGGGTAAAAGAGTCTGAGGGTGCTCATTGCTTTCCCAGGGCCTTGCAAAAAGTGCATGGCAAAGCATAACTCCAGGCACTCAACAAACAATAGAGCATCCTTCCAGCCACTTTGGTACTGGTTCCCTGCATGGGTTCCTGGCTCAAAGGTAAAGGTGATAAATAAGTGAAACCAAGCTTTGCATTCCTAGAAATCCCATGCTAAGGTCAACTTGGGTTCAGGATCTCTTTACTACCACCTCAAAAGTGCCATTTAGAGTGGTACCTTCTGGGGGCAAAATTCCCAAACTGTCCATAAAGAATGATAAATGATCACTGTGAAGCAACCAAAGAACAAACTCAGTCTGTTTCCCCTTTCTGCTCATCTTCTCTGTGGAAGTTTCCCATTCCATAGTCAACACAAGAAATGGCACCTATTTAGCACTATTGATCCAACTTACTTCAGTAACAAACCACATTAAGTTAAAATCAATACCAGCCACTCTTAAACTGATTTAGGAGTGTCCACACAAAGGGGCTCGCACCAGTTTAGACAGATCTGCTTTGTTACCAATTTAGTTAAAATATGCAATCTAAAGGGCTGATCTGTGCCCTGAACAGCTCCCAGGGTTCAAAGGCATCAATTCCCAAGTCTCATCGATGGCTCCCAAGGGACAGGACACAAGAAGTCAAGTGTCACTGACCCATGTCCATCTCTCTTGGCAAACCATACAGGTCTCCCTCATTCCAAGAGCCAAAGAGATGGGGGGAAAAGCCCAAAGAAACCCAAATTGACCCCAGAGTTAGTTTATTTCTAGAGCTCAAACTTCACATCAGATACTAAGAGACCAAAGATGCTGGAGACAAACAGATCAGAAAGTTGTGTTTTATTTCTCCCCCTGGAATATTTACTCCAGCGAGACACGTGCCCTGCAGATCACTGTGCCTGCCATAAATCCAGCACCGCTGGGCTTTGCAGATCTTGTTGCAGCACCAGCCAAGTGCCCAAGGTCAGGAAATGCAGCACCAGGAGGAGTCTGACAGGGCTGTACATCACACAGCAGCGGGGCTGGGTTTGACACCTTTGGCTGGTTTAATATCCAGGGCCTGTACATGTGCAGGGAAGGCTCGGGGCGAGCGCAGCACAGCCCTCATCACACCCCATGACATCACAGCATCACAGGCAGCTCCAAGCCAGGCTGTAAATCTCGGCTAAAAAGAGGGAGGAAGGATTCTCACTTCAAAGGAGGTGAGGCTTTAATGTTTAGTCAAGTGCAAGCTCAAGGGTCTCCATCAGACACGAGCCCTGCCTGCCAGGGAAAGGCTCCGAGAGGAATTTGGTGTTACCCTTCCTGGCTGATGAGAGGGAGCCCAGGCCCTGTGAGGTCCTGCTACCCCTGTGCCTCAGCCCCCCAGAATCTGACACATCACAGGAAAATCACTAAAGGTTACTGATTATTAGGCTTGAGCTTCAGAGGGAAAATATCAGAAGTTTGTTCAGGACTTGAGGATTCTTGGAGCAAACGGCATCCGACTGGAACAGTTCTGGTTCCCCTATAGCAAAGGAGAGAAGAGGAAAGCAGGTTCCTCCTCCCATGCTTTTGGGCCACGATATGAGAAAAATGTTGCATTCAGTGCTCTTTTACACCGTGGAAAAAATGGGAAAAAGCATTGGGCCAGTGTTGCTGTTTGGTTTAAAACCAGACCTTTAAGTTTCAGTTGTCCCTGGGGGGAACAGGCACGGGATGGACTCTGGAGCACCTGCACAACATCATCAGATCAGCAGAGGTAACCTCCTACCAAGTCCTCTGACCACAGGAGCCATGCACCTCTGTTCTATAATCCCTTTTAATTTATTTCTCCTCCTGCCTCCTTTCTCCCCATTCCTTCCCTGGAGCTGCAGGCACCATTTCCCATCGCTGTTCATTACCTCGGGAGATCAGGATCAGCCAACCCACTAAAAACCTTCCAAAAGGCAGGAAACGCCACACTTCATTGCTGCTTATCCACCTACAAAATATGCATGTTCAGGCGTCATCTCACCTCAGCTGCTTTTAAACCTGCCACTCAGAAGTGGTTTGGGGTTTAACTTCCAGGCTGTAACTGCTTTGTGACATTCAGGATAGCTGGAAAAGACTTTGAAATTGTTTTCCCTGCTGTTACCAGGTAATAATTTGTTTCACAGAAAGAGTCAAGAGCTATGCTAATGTTGCTGAATTAAACACAGGGATGTTTTGCAAACAGAATTAAACCTTTCCCTCTTTTTTAGATTGTATTTTACTCTAAAGCCTCAGGCACTTAGAATTGGCCTCCATTGTACAAGGAATGGATCTTTTCCCAGAGTAAATAAATAAGGTAAAGAAAAGAAAAAAGAAAAAAAAAGTCACTCTTTGTTGCTGGGTATGAAGCATCCCTAAAGAGAGACAAATCCTGCTGAGATGTCCTTTCCAGGGTCTCCAAGAGCAACAGGCACTCTGATCCCAGGAGCCAAGCAGGGTTTGGTGCTCACATCCTCAGTCCCAGGGCCGAGGGGTCCCCCCTGCACACCCCCTGTATCTGCACACTGACTGCTCCAGCCACCAGAAATGCCAAAGCCCCTCCTCACACTGCGCTCACACATCTGGGCAGAGGGGCCATCGCCTCTCCCAGCACCACACTGAAGTCCTTATTTAGCTGACAAAACACTCACAATCCCACTCCCTCCAGAGCCCACAATTGGAGCTGGAAGAGCTGGCATCTGTCATCAGGCTCAGCGCTCCAGCTGAAAGACGGAGCCAAGGCTTTGTGAGCCATGAGGAGCGATGACAAATTTGGGATCAAGGACGCTGACCACGTGGCTGTGATTACTATCAGGGGGTTACTGGCAGGGGAAGACAGCATGCAGTTCTCATGGCCATTTAAGGCCTTCTCTGGTGCAGAGAGGGAAAGAAAATCCCTTCTGGTAGGTGCTCCATTGCAGGGAAACATGGATTTAAGAGGCTTCCTCTGGTGAGCAGCTACTTTCCAAATCACCAGATCTAAACAGAAAACTTACACCCTTATGAGCACAAAGCCCAAGTTTGTGGAAGCTTCTGCTGAGGATGCTCACTGCCAAATGTCAGTGCCAACTGCCTTGATGGCGGTGAGAGGGTGACATTTGGTCTGGTCTCTTCCCTTTGAGCACATATGCACGTTTTTGCAGAGCCAAGCACACTTTGCAGCAGGAAGACTTAAAACCCAGTTGCAAAATATGCTGCATGCACTGGTAAGAAATTAATCTATTTTCACTGTCTAATCTAACGTGTGTGGAGCCACTCCACTGGATCCCCTCTGGGCTGAACTGACCAGGTCACTCTGGTTCTGCTTTCTTCAGAGCCACAAGAGCAGCTGGAATAGGGAAAAACCTGCAGCATTCCAAAAAAAAAAAAACAACCCCAAGTCCAGCATCTGAACCACTCACCAGCCTTTGTGGCATGTACAGCCAGTCCTTAATTCAGTTTGATTCACAGCAAACGCCACAAGCCAAGTGAGTTTTGCATTATTCCAGAAAAAAAAAAAA